CATCATGATTTCCCGGAGTTTGTGGCCGAGAACCACTTTCACTTCTGCAATGTGATCCCAGCTCACTGCGCTCAGCTACGGAATCTGGTTCTCAGCGCCTACCCGTCCTCATTCCACAAGCTTCCCGATCCTTTTCGCGAGGGCTTGAAGGCGGAGCGCATTGAGGAGATGCGAGACATCCCTAAGATTGCAGGTGACATTGATGCTCCTCTTCAGCAGGCGAACATCAAGGATGTGGTGGATACTGTGTTCCAGAATGATAACGTCTCGGATGCTGTAGTCCAGCAGATCTGCGACGCAGTCACGACTACGGAGAAGCAGGAGACTGGCCTCTTCTATGTCCCGATCAACGTCGACACCGTGCTTGTGAACGCGCTGGTCCTGTACATTGGCCAGCAAGCGGCGACTGAACATGCTTCGAAGAGCAATACTCGCAGCGCATTCGAGACCTCGACGCACGCGACTCTTCTGACCAAGATCGCGCAAACCATGGCTCCCGAGGCTCGTTACTTCCTTCTGAGCGCGATGGCCAACCAGCTTCGGTATCCCAATAGCCACACCTACTTCTTCAGCTTTACGATCCTGCGTCTCTTTGGTGTGGACTACTCTGAGCAGGATGAGTCGGACATCCGCCAGCAGATCATCCGGGTGCTTCTGGAACGCCTCATCGTCCATCGCCCTCACCCATGGGGATTGATCATCACGCTCCAGGAGCTCCTCCAGAACCGGAGCTATTCTTTCTTCCGCCTGCCCTTCATCCAGGCGGCACCCGAGGTGAGTTTCCTTGTTTCTTGCGTATCAACCAGTTGCTAACTTGACCTCTGCAGATCGGTCGGCTTTTTGATGCCCTCCTCCAGCACATCCAACAGCAAAGCCCCCGCCCGCTGTCCTGAGCTCTCCTCATCCGCCCGCTGTTTCCCAATCTCTTCTCCGCCCAATTTCTTTCGTCTGACATCCTAAATATTTTTCATGCCTCACGATACGGGAATTTGCAGTGAGGATAGCCTTGCATATTTTTCACCACATCTCTTACCCCGCGGACTATTTCCGTATGCCTCGTTCCATGATGTTTTCTCGTCTGATGCAACTACCTGTAATGATAAAGTGTAAAAGCTGGCGTCACATTGGTTTGCTTTGAAGATTATTTTTTCTGCATCGAGAGGGAATTTCAGTGCCACTATTATTATCATGATTTATCTATTAACATGTTTGTAATTTCGGCTCTCTTCCTTGTCCAAGGTGAGCAAGCGGAGTGGGAAGGGCTGGTCACGTGATTGGTCCATTCAAGGTGCTGACATAAGTATGTATCTGGTTGCCCGAGAGACGGCCCCGTAAACACCGCCCTGCTGTCACATCCGCCTCGAATTCCTGCGACCTTCAGGTTGGTCTTCTGGTTAACTTGTGTTTACCATTTCCCTTACAACACACTGTTGGCTCCTGTTCAACAAAGATGCCAGGAACGGTGGCTGATGGACCGAGTGTGTCCATGTCTTGTATGTATTGACTGAAAGAGCATTCGGGAAAGCTCACTAACAGTCTGGTTTCTAGTTGCGAACAACTTCTGGGGCAAGGATGATGCCGGCCTTCACCCTATGCTTGATCGCATGCATGGCTCTAAAATTACTAACGACGAACTGAAGGCTTTCTACAATGGTTTGTGTCCTATGGCTCCGAGGTGGTACCTCTTCGGTTGCTAATGTCAACAAATAGTCCGCGCTGCCATCGAAGACGAATATGCCAGAAAACTCCAAGCACTGTGTCGCAAGTCACTTGGATCGTCTGAAACAGGGTCGCTGCGCACTTCATTTGATGTGGTTCGCGGAGAAACCGAAGCTATCGCGAAAGCCCATGCGGCCATCGCGACTCAGATGAAGGGCGAATTGGAAGAGCCGCTAGCTACCTTTGCCAGTGGGCTCAAGGAAAGACGGAAGATTATTCAGGCGAGCATTGAGCGTCTGCACAAGACAAAAATGCAACAGACGCAAGCCGTGAACAAGGTGAGTGGCTGATGATCTAACATCATGTCTCACGTATGCTGACCACAAGGGCAGTCTCGTGACCGCTATGAGCAGGATTGTCTCCGTATCAAGGGATATCTTGCGCAAGGCCACATGGTGATGGGTCAAGAAGAACGAAAGAATAAAGCAAAGCTTGAGAAGACCCAGATCCAGCTGGCCTCCAACAGCAACGAGTATGAAGCTATGGTCAAGACTCTTGAGGAGACAACTGGGCGCTGGAACAAAGAATGGAAACAGGCTTGTGATGTACGTGATACTCCCCAGCCGTTATCAAATGCTCGTACTAATGGGCAGCAGAAATTCCAAGATTTGGAAGAAGAGCGTCTGGACTTCACAAAGAGCAGTCTCTGGACATATGCGAACATTGCATCGACGGTCTGCGTCAGCGACGATGCTGCTTGCGAACGCATTCGCCTCTCGCTTGAGAACTGCGAGGTGGAGAAGGACATTGTTTACTTCATCAAGGAACGCGGAACTGGCCAAGAGATCCCGGATCCTCCTCGATTTATCAACTTCTGCAAAGAAGATGCCAGTGATGCTGGCTCAGAGATAGGAGAGGACGGCTACTCCGTCGCTCAGTTCCAGCGCACTATGAATCCTGCGTTCCGCACATCCTCTCCCCAGCCGTCTGCATACGAGTCCCATAATGACCCTCAGTCCGATCTCGCGGCTCAAATGGGCCACCCTACTACCGAGAAAGGGGCCCAGCAACCGGCGCCTCTTGACCTTCGCCGAGGCGGCCATCTTCCACCAAATTATGACCCTGATCAGCATGGCGAGATCAACACCATTCCACATAATGCATATCCAACGGATGGTATGACCATGTTCTGTCGAGCTGGTCCGCCTTCGGAGCGATCTGCAACCAGCGCGTATCGCCCATCCAGCCGCGATTCTCAGAGCGAAGTTTCTAACCCGACCTCCATGTCGAGCTTTGACCAAGGCAGTAACCTCAGTTCCAAGTCCTCTCCTGCTAAATCTACTGGCCCGGGACTGCCAAATGGCGGAGGCGACAAGCAGGTTCAGAAAAAGAGAAGCGCGTTTTTCAGCAACAGTCCTTTCCGCCGCAAGAGTCGCCATGAAAAGGAGAGGCCCAATATCTCACCCTCGCCAGCCAGGCAGAGTCCAACCAAGGGAGTTCCCATGATTAATGATGGTCGTGTGTCTGGGAGCCCAGAGCCTGTGGATCCTCGTGCCAACTTCCAACTGAATGTTGGCAACAACGTCTTTGATGTCGCTTCACCTGACAAGAACTCCCCCGGGAAGGGAGCGCAACCAATCAAGGGCCCTGAGGATGATCTCGACCCCATCGCTCGGGCTTTGGCTGACTTGAAGACAAATGGCAAGCAGTCAACCTCTCGTGTGTCAGCCGATAGGTACCATGGTATTCAGACACCAAATCCGTCTGCCCCAAGCTCGACCTATGGTGGAGGCTCGTCAGGCGCACCTCCTCCGGCGTACCATGACCCCTCCGTGAAGCGACTTGATGCTCCTCAGCCGGCGTTTACCTCGAAGCAGATGCAAAAGACAACCCAGCGATACACTGGCCAAACTCAGAATATGCTCCGAGGTGGAAACGGCAACCCTCAGGACATTCCCCGTGCGCGCTCGCCAGCTCCAAGGCGCAGTGCCAGTCCCCAGGTCACTCCTCGCGCAGACACTCGAACGAGCCAGTACAGCGGTGGAGGGGGCAGCCCTAGCCCCAATTCATACCAGTCCAACAGCATGAACGGTCGCTACAGCCAGTCCCCAACGCCGCGTCGAACCCAAGACCCGCCGTACTCGCCAATCGATTACAAGAGGGGATCACCTGGTGGTCCCAACCGTGCTGTATCTCCTCAGCCCCAGTTCAGACAGCAGGCTCGTCCTTCCAGTGCCGGAGGGATGGAGCTGCAGTTGTCTGGCAACCAAGTTGAGATGTACGGTGGTGGCAGCCGCGAGGGATATGGCTCAGCTCGACAAAACGGCCGGCCAGTTTCTTACTACGGTGATGGCAGCGGTGCACCTCCTGGCCGATCCAGGAGCCGCACCATGGCTGTTGCCGAATCCGGAAGGAAGTTCAGCCGCGATGGACGCCCAGTTCTGCATTTTGCTCGCGCAATGTACAGCTACTCTGCCGCCATTCCTGAGGAGCTCGGCTTCACCAAGGGTGAAGTGCTGGCTGTACTCCGCCTTCAGGATGACGGATGGTGGGAAGCCGAAGTCACCAGCACCCGTGCCCGCCCCGGCCTGGTGCCGAGCAACTACCTGCAGATCATCTAGATGGTCCACATCGCTAACGAACCGCCATGACCCACTGCAACCTCTTGTCCTGACGGAGTTTTCCCCTTCTCTTGTTCTTACGTAGATACCATTCCCCTTCTCCGAGCTACTTTGCACATTACGATCCTTTATCTTTTTTCTTTCTCTTTGTTCACTTGCGGTTTTTCCCTTGCGTGCTTCGAGGGCTCAAGAGTTGGTCAACCTTTTTTGAGGCTTCGCGAATTCTTTTTTTTTTTTTTTTTTTTTTTTTTTGCTTTTGGAGCGTCTTTGATTTCCAGGACTATGTTTAGTGCTGTGCGATCTAATTTGTCAAATGCTTTTTACCATGATATTTGAGTGGAGGCTTTTCTTCAAGCCGAATGGGATGGATGTTGAATGAATGGTCTCAGGCCATGTACATTTGCCAGGATACTTGCTATTTGTGTTTACTATTCGAGCGCGCCTGATGTGTGTGTGGCTTCAATGATATTCTTTTCCTATGTCAGCTTGCTTTGCCTTTTTTTGAAAAATGGTTTCTAGTGCCTTTAACCTCCATCTGTAGTTAGTGTCTTGAATATACTAGCGTGTGCGCTTCCCCGCGATTCTTCCCCACAGTATATCACCAGAACCAATCTTCCTTTGCCGGGGTCGGGCCATAAATGGTGTATATGGCACGAATTCCCCGCATTAATGGAGCTCCTCACCAGTTTGTTCGACTAGGGCCAATTCCACGTATTGATCATGAAGATTTCAACCTTTTTGGCGGGCATCCTGCCCACTGCCCTGGCAGTCGATCCCCTCCTGACGGTGCGCACCTTGACTGGCACCTACACAGGCCTTCAGAACTCCGACTATCCTAATGTCCGAGAGTTTCGTAACATCCCATATGCGCAGCCCCCCGTTGGCAAGCTCCGCTTCCTGCCACCGGAGTCGCTACCTCACTCGGATGAACACCATTACTCCACGAGGTTTCCACCTTCATGTCCTCAATTTGTTTCCAGTTCTCCCAGCTTCTGGAACCTATTTACCCCTTTCCTACTGGTGGGAAATGGTGATCAGAACCACACCAGCGGCCTGAGTCTGCAGACAGGTGCGGAAGACTGCTTGAGCATTGCCGTCTGGACACCCTACAAAGTCTCCTCTAAATCCAAGCTGCCTGTTGCTTTCTTTATGACCGGAGGCGGATTTGTGACTGGCGGGATCGACATTGCAGGCCAGCTGCCCCCATCATGGGTGAGTCGCACCCAGGACCATATCGTAGTGACGATCAACTACCGGGTCAACATATTCGGCTACCCCAACGCGGCCGCATTGGATGTGCCGAATGTGGCTCTGCTGGATCAGCGCAAGGCGCTAGAATGGGTGCACGAGAACATTGCCTCATTTGGGGGCGATTCCGACAGAATCACGATGTGGGGACAGTCTGCTGGCTCTGCCAGTACCGACTGTCATAACTACGCCTTCTGGGATAAGCCAATTGTTCAAGGCACGCTTTCGCAGTCTGGCACGGCGCTGCTCGCTTCCTCCTCGCAGGATTACAGTCATTCCAACTTTACCTTCGTGGCCAAGAACCTGGGATGTGATTTCCCGGATGACCCCATCGCAGAACTGGAGTGTATGCAACAAGTCCCGATGACGATGATTGAGAACTTCATCGGACAATATGACGAAGAACCTGGGATCAAATTTACTCCCATTGCCGATGATGTCTATATCTTCTCTGATTATGCGGCCCGCGCAGCTGCTGGTAAGATCTCACCTCGGCCCGCGATCTTCTCAGATTGCGCCAACAACGACGCCTCCCTGGCCGCCTGGCCATCATCCAATGCCACCGTTGGCCCGTGGCAGCCCGGAATTACCGCAGGCACACTAGCAGACTGGGTCTGTCCGACTGCAAACACGAGCATCTGGCGTGCCGCCAACAATCTCACCACGTACCGATATCAGTATGCCGGCACCTGGCCCAACGATGACGCCTTACAAGTGGCTGGGCGCCCACCATGCAGCGGACCTGGTCATGAACTTTGGTACATACTTCTACAATGTGACCAATGCGACCACTGGCCCCAGTCCATTGGAAATCGCCACGAGTGAGACCATGCAGGACCATATTCTGGCTTTCATGAAGGACCCCATCCAGGGGGCCCCCTGCCAGGGGCTGGTACCCGTATACGTATGGTGGGGATGTGCTTCGGTTCGGTGGGGATGGGCTTGCAGTGCAGATTGTGAGTGGGTATTCCATTGATGGACCGTGTTTTGGAAATGGGACGTATAATCCATTTCCATGAGGGAATTAGTGAGAGTGAAGTACTTGGGTGGGCGTCAAAGGGTCTCCCGGCAACCACCCCGGCCCGATGCCGGCTGGATGCCGCGCTATTAAATGGAAGGGGCAGTCAACTTCAAAAAATGCTGTGGTCTTTTCAAAAGTACTAAAATCGGGCAACTTGGAACACTCAAGCTAGCCGGCATCGGGCCGGTCGTTGAGGCGGCGACCGGGAGACACTCGTGCAGGGGGGGGTACCTCGTCTGCCATAGTAATTACTATGCAATACGATGTACAGACCGCTATTTTCCCCCGGCGATATAATAGTATTTTACCGGCGTAGAAACGCCTTGATCCTCTTGCCGCTTACCTTCGGCCCCCGTACCTCGTATGAGAGTAGTTCGATTTCGTACGTGGCTGGAGTGGCTTCCCCCGCAATTTTAAAAAAGTGGATCTGCCCTGGCTGAAATGCGCGCAAATTGTGGAGAGAAACTACCCATTCGTTTGTCAGTCAGGGGCGAAAACCAAGACGCGCAGACAAGTGCAAGAATAACAAGAAGGATAGATCTCGTACCTAGGACTGGGGAGAGTCTGAGTAATTGTTCCTAGAGCGGGATAGGACTAGGGTTACACTGACATCCGCATTAGACCGATGTCATTCACCCGTCCGATGCGGATGCGCTTAGTTAGAGTTTACGGGGCCACGCGAGACATGGACGCCCCAGCGTTTTAACCGAGGCGAGGCAGATTGCTTGCAGTTTAGTTAAATACCCTCGTCCGGGGACCTCTAAATCCATGCAACCCCCCAATTCCTCACTTTGTTGTGCACATGGTCCTTTTCCTTTCCTTTCCTGTTCTGTTCTATCCTGTCCCGCCAGATGTCGTCGGATTCCGAGAAAAAGAAGCAAGAGGAGGCCGTAGGCGCCATCACCTCTGATGTCGAAAGCTCCTACTCGCACGATGCAGTCTTCGGCGAGATTACAGCCGAGGGTCCCAACTATCGCAATGTCGGATGGCTGGGCACCGCCGTGCTGATGATGAAGACCCAGATCGGTCTCGGCGTCCTCTCCATCCCCGTCGCCTTCGATGCGCTGGGTATCGTCCCCGGCATGATCTGTCTCATCGCCATTGCGGCCATCACCACCTGGTCCGACTATATCATTGGTGTTTTCAAGCTGCGGCATCGCGAGGTGTATGGCATTGACGACGTGGGCCAGATGCTCTTTGGCAAATATGGGAGAATTGGCTTCGGGTTTGCTTTTGTCCTCTGTGAGTTTATTCCGCTTTATCTTAGTTGGATCGCTCTCTGACCCACTCTCCTTCACAGGGTGGACCTTCGTTGCGGGTTCGGGGATGCTCGGCATCAGTATCGGCCTGAATGCCGTATCGACTCATGCCACTTGCACCGCCGTGTTTGTCGCCGTTGCGGCGATCGTCACCTGTGTTCTGGCGAGTATTCAGACTCTGGGCCGCATCTCCTGGCTCGCGTGGGTCGGTTTAACATGCATTCTTACCTCGAGTAAGTATTGATCCCTTCTATCCATGCAATCAAATCTAATAGTCCTGTCTAGTCCTCATCGTGACCATTGCCGTCGGCATTCAGGACCGTCCATCAGCCGCCCCGCCCACGGGTGTCTGGGTCTCCGACTACAAGATCATAGGTAGCACAACATTCGTTGATGCCACGACTGCCCTCTCCACCATCGTGTTCGCGTACGCCGGCACTCCGGCCTTCTTCTCCATCGCGTCGGAGATGCGTGATCCCCGCCATTATGGGCGATCGCTCATGGTGTGCCAGTCTGTCGTGACCGTTTTCTACATTGTAGTTGGAGTCGTGGTCTACTATTACTGCGGGTCTTATGTGTCGTCTCCTGCTCTGGGCTCCGCGGGTCCGACGATGAAGATAGTCAGCTACGGCTTTGCGCTGCCGGGTTTGCTGGCTAGTACGTTGATTTTCATCCATGTGAGTCTCTCTCCGTGCCGAGAAATGGTTTAGTGTTCGTGCTGACAGTCTGTTGTTTAGCTGCCGGCAAAGTATATATTTGTGCGCATCCTCCAAGGCTCCAAGCATCTGACTGCAAACACCTTCATCCACTGGGGATCGTGGCTCGGCTGCACAGTCGGAGTCGCCGTCTTCGCTTATATCATTGCCAGCGCCATCCCCGTGTTCGGGGATCTCGTCTCGCTCGTTGGTGCCTTGCTCGGTACGCCGATGTGCTTCCATCCCATGGCCGGCATGTGGTTGTTCGACAACTGGTCCCAGGGCAAGGTTGTTAGAACGACACGGTGGACTTTGATGGTTGGCTGGTGCATCTTCGTTATCTTGGCTGGCACTTTCTTGATGATTGGGGGCACTTATGGATCGATTGTCAGCATCATCGACAGCTATACGAAGTCCGGGGGTTCGGCTGCTTGGTCGTGCGCTGATAATTCTGCTTGATAGATTTTCACATCTGGCTGTGACAAGATGGTTTTATAGCTACCCAATATACATAGAATCAGAATATAAATGGCTGTTTTTCCAGATATATTCATCCGTACAATCGGACGACGTCAAAGCCAGTACAAACTCACTAGATATATGTACAGGAGGACGAATGCAACGCACCCCGTAGAGTCTAGCAGAAAAGATAAATTAAGTGATATATCAACATAGCAGGTATGTACACAACGCAACGCAGCGCATCAAACGACCGTAATCCAGGACGAGCAAGCATGAACAGAGTATGGGTATATGAAGCACAGGCAAGCATTCTCACACCTAGAGAAGCAGACCAGAAACAAAACCAAGCGGATCTATTATTCATCATCGACAAAGGAGTTGGCTAGGCGACCAAAGATTGGGACTTCGAAGTGCTCGAGTGTGTCGACTGAGGGAGTAACTAGGTCAGATCCATGTATCCCACGAAATAGAAAAGGGAGGAAACTCACCACCTTGATAGGCTTTCATGCTGAGAAAGCCGATGAGGAGAATGTCGATGATAAAGAGAGTCCAGGACAAGAAGCTGGACCAGGCGAGGATGAGATGGAGTATAAAGATGACGGTAAACAGCATGCTCGACTGCCACGCGTGGAATCTGGATGATAATCCCAATCAGCACCATTACTACCTCCTATATTCTCTCCAGCTCCCCTTCCTCCTCCTCCAACACAGGTACATACCGCACATAATCACTCTTATGCTCCGTCAACAGCAAGAACACGCCTCCGGCCGGAGGCAGCAGCAGATACGCCAGCATGGCCTCAACATCCATGCGAATGGGGAGACTAGTCTCAAACGCCCCCAAGCTGACATGGCCACCTTCGACATCGCGTCCGAACCCCGTGTGCCCGGTTCCGGCGGCGAAGTGACTGGGAGGCGGCAGGTCTGCCGATGCGCGGCCGTTGGGCGACTTGGCGCCGTCGCCGTGGGGAGGGGACAGAGCCCGCTCGATCTCGGGGGACTCGTCCTGGTAGGGAGCGAAGTTCATTGTTTGTGTTTGTGTGTGAGCGCGTGAGAGAGAAGGTTGTCGCAAGGCAGCAGAAGTAACGGACTGGTTCTCCTTATCGCGCGCTAGGTTATCGGGCATGTTGACCCCTGGATGCCTGAGGCAGGGTATCATTTGTTCTCATTTGCATCTCTTAACTATCTCCGTGGGAATATGACAAACACAATAATGTACACGAAGAAAAACAATAGTCATGACAAACAGTAAATTCATGAGGTCTTCCCCCGACCGCGGGAAACGCCACTCCCTCGCGCAATCCCGCTGGCTGGCCGCCGTGTCGCCGTCGTAGAGCCGCGCGTAGCGGTGGTGCGCGACGTGCTCGTACTGGTACTGGGCGTGCGCCCTAGACCCGTGCTCCGGACCCGGCCACGCGTGGTTCCTCGAGTCTTGCCCGTCGCGATGCGTCGTCGTCCTTCTTCCTCCGCCTTGCGGGCAGCCGCCTCTCGCTGCTGCTGGAGGGCCTGTTCGCGCCGTTCGGCGGCTTGTTGTCGTTGGATCGCTTCGTTTTCGATATCGGCGACATCTTGTGTGGCGCCTTGCCAGTTGGGGTTGAGGAGGAGGCGTTGGTTGTGTTCTGTCTGCGAGAGGATCCGCGTCCAGGTATTCAGGAGCGTCGATGCGGATGTGACTGTTTTCGAGACCGTCTGCATGTAATGTTAATGATTGTCTGAACCAAATGAGTCGCAGGGACACCCTGCTCACCTCCATGTTTCCCTTGGCGCGATCCAAGCTGGTCAAGAGCCCTTCGAGCACCTCGTTGATGTGCCGCACGCTCTGCAGTTCATTTCGTAGCGCTGCCTCTCGTGCCTCTTCGCGGTCAAATAGGGTGTCGCCGGCATCGTGCGAGGGTTGGGCAGGAGGTATCTTCTCATCGGAGGATCGTGGATTGTGGGCTCCCCGTTTGGACGGCGAGTTCCAGAGCTCCTCGGTGTCTTCGTCGGACAACTGGAGATGCTCCATCTCCTCGGCCGCACTGCGAGAAGCCATGTCGGAATGTTGAAATACAATCGGGCAGAAAGACAAATCGGGAAGGGTATCAACACATCGTTTGGTGGGGAACCAACCAACCAGCCACCCAAGGGCGGTGAGCGTGGCTGGGTAAACACATTCCACCTCTGTTCTCCCTGTCTTCCCATCATTACATTGCTATTCCCTCCCATCTTGACTGCATCGTGGTTATTTGGGCTCGTCAGTCTTATTTATTGACGTGTCTCGTGTGTTGGACCTCGTTTCGATTTTTCCCGCTTGATTTTCGCCCTGGCGACGCTGCACGCAGTCTGACCCCCAGCCGGTCCTTGATCGAGACTGTTCTCACGGAACATCCGAATAGCTACGCCTCGTGTACAATCGGCATTGTTACCTCGAGGACTTCCATTCACTCTGCAATTATGGCGACCACTCCGCCGCCTCCATCGCCCTCTGCCTTGCGCATGCCTGCAGCACCTCGACATGGCCCTGCCTACGATGAATATGAGCCCTATCCCACGCGCGCTTCAGCCAGGCTGGCCAACCAACGAGTGACCCGAATTGAGAAGACTCCACCTCCAAGTTCTCCCAGTGTTCGAAGCAGAGCCATTGCTTCTCCCAAAAAGCAGCGCAAGGTAGAGGTGGAAGGGTTGTCACCTCCTAGATCGACTCCAGGTAGCCCTCGGAAGAAGGCTAGACTGGGAGGTCACGCAGACACACACCCCACCACTTCTCACTCTCTTTCACACACGTCTGTGCAATCCCGCCCTTCCCACTTGCATCCCCCTACCTCTCGTTCCACCATGGCTGGTGATATGCTTCCCACTCCTATCAAAACTCCTTCCAAGAAAGCTGTGGATGATCAATCTGCTGCTCGTGCTCTCTTTGCTCCCCCCATGTCCACGCCCAAGAAATCCAAGAAACACACGGGTTTCTCCCTCGAGAGTTTCAGTGAGGATCTTGCTCCCGGCCAGCCAGCCATCCAGATCTACACCGACTCTCGTGACCGTATCCCCACGATGGACCCTACCGAGGACAACCCTTTCTACGCCAAACCTGCCATGCCCAATGCTTCGGAGAAGCAGCCCACCCGCACGTCCAAGAGACGTGCTGCAAAGCGCGACCCCGAAGTGGAAGGTTCGCTCAAACGGGACGACGGAATCTACTGTGTGTTGTAAGTACTATATCTTTCCCCCAGTCTCTTGGTCAATATCTTCTAATGCCGTTTCTACAGTCGCGGAAAGAAGATCTTCAACCGGTTCAGCGAGGAGGCCGACAATGATGATGAAGACCTGGGTCTGCTGGCTGCTCGTCCTGATCTGATGAACACCGACACCAGCGACCTCCTGACCAGTGTCCAGCCTCTCACTCGTTCTTCCATCAAGCCCCGTGTGCTCTTCCCTACTGCCAGCAAGGATGATGAGTCTCACCACGAAGACGAGGCCACGGATGTGGAGGAGAACGCTAAGGACGACCTGTCCACTCCTTCTCCCAAGTCCCCCCTAACCACTCCTGCCTCTCCCGGTGGCACCATGCGCCTGCGCTCTGGTGCTCGCTTCGACAAGACCCAGGTGGATGCCACCCCGACCATGGTGTCTGACCTTAAGAAGACCGAGAAGAAGCCGAGCAGCCCCTTCGCCCGCTGGCAACGCAAGAAGCAGAGCCCGGATGATGGAACCAGCACCACGCCTAAGAAGCGTGAGGCTGGTCCAGTCTCCAGCTCCAGTGGCCCTGCTCCCAAGCGGACCCGGGGTGTTCGGTCGGCTTAAGCCCGTGCTCAGTGGCTTGCCTTCTTGTTTTGTGTCACTCATCACTTCAGCGCTGGTTCTTTCTTTATTCTCTTCTTTCTTTTCTTCAGGGACATTATGCATCGTGTGACCTTCAGTTTTCTCTTCAGCCATCTGTGCAGCCTCTTTCTTGTGCTGCATGTCCACATTCTTATCCCGTGGCCTGTTGTAATTTCTTTCTTTTTCTCATGACAGTCATGCGTCTTCTTGGCCTCTCTCTGGGTTCATACTTGTGCTATCTTTCTTTCGTTCTTGTCTTTCCATCGGGGTGAAGGGTTTTCTGGGATAGGATGGGATGGGACAAAATTGTTTTGCTTGGGAATTGGGATTAAACTTCATGGATACCTCCTGGACGCTTGCCTCCAATTTATTATCTGTATGCAGGACAACAACGGAGATTTTTGTTTTTGATCCCCTGCCTTGTGTATCGAGGGTTCCTGCGTTGGGCTTTCACGTCCATCACATACTTCGGTCTTCTTTTGAGGTTTCTGCTGGCTTGGTCGAGATGGTTGCTTCCATCGCCCTGGTTTTGTTTTAATGGGAAATGGTAACCCAGTCAGTCCTTTTGATCATCTCTTGTGCTTCGTAGGTTGTAGTTGTGTACAGTGCTTCCGGAATTCGGTATCACCACCTACACTTTTCGATTGATTCTCGAACCCTAATGCCTTAAGGATACCCTCGTCATTTATTCCGACCTGGGATTAAGAGAACCTTCAATAGAGCAAAAGGATAATTATAGAGGAAGTTATTTATGTACTGGAAAAGGGAATATCAGTCGGATCTGCAAGTAGATCCTCCTCTGAGCTTCCCCTTGTCCACCACAAAAACAGTGGCGTAAGCCATTCAAGAAGCCTGCCCCCAATGGCTCCTATATCTCGGTTGGACCTCCAACCAGTCGATGAAACCTTATACATATCTTCGGTTTTCTTGCGTTGGAGATTTTCGTAAAAGTCGAACGCAGCCTTTGGAGGTTCACCATGAAAGTGAGAGAGTATAAGTGATAGCTTGATTGCATCCTCAAAGGCATGACCGATACTTTCCCCCTTAGGCGGCATCTGTAGAAAGTGACATAAGTACAAGGTCCAAGGGCTCAAAGGAAGAACAAGAAGAAGAAAACTTACCGCATGAGCCGCATCTCCTAGTAGTAAAACTCGATTCGTAGACCATCGGCCATTTGGAGGTAAAATGTAGATCGGATAAAGAGTCCAATCCTCGACCTTCTCAATCATTTGCCCGATCTTCGGGATAGGTGACTTTTGCGTTCTCCTTGCTCCTTCATCACGCACTCTCTCCTGATCCTTACCAATCAACTTCCAGCCCTCGCGAGACCCCTGTTCCTCCATGTCCATCAAGAGAACGGCATAGATCATACTCCGGTCATAATCACAGAACGTTGTCAAAGCGGATCCATACCTAGACATCACAAGCCCAGTATCTGTGAAGAACGGTTTTTCGTCCTCACCAAACACCTCTTTCGTCTCCACAAACCCGTACGCCGCTGCTATTCCAGAGTAAAACGGCTTCCGCTCAGCCTCCACATGAAGACTCCTCACAGCTGAATGGATCCCATCGCAGCCCAGCACAATATCTCCGGTATCCAGTCCCCCATCCTCGAAGTAAACACACACTCTATCCGACATTTCCTCAACACGTGTCAATTTCTTCCCATAACGAATCTCCACCGTGGGCAGTCGCTCAGCAACCCTTATCATAGCACATAGAAGCTGATATCGCATGACTCTCCATCCCTTATACCCCCCAAGCCCGTTTCCATCCGATCCAGCATAGTCTATTGCAGCAAGCTGCCCTCCAGTACGCATAGAGAACAACTGGATCGAGTCAACCTCACAGCCCGCCCTCATGGCTTTCAGCTCGTCGAACACGCCAAGCTTATCGAGGCAGCGTAGCGCTTTCGGCGTGAGGTTCACCGGCCCGCCGAATGTGCTAGGCGCGTCGCGAAGTTCGTATACAAGGATTTGTGGTTTGGGCTCGTGTGATAAGAATGCCTGTGCGATAGATATTGCAGAGGCGAGACCGCACATTCCGCCGCCGATTATGATGATATTCTGGGTTGGAGTCGTCATGGTGGAGTTAACGATAAGTTGGACCGTTGTGTGAGTCCATAGCAAGAGGTACAGGACAGGTTGGCTGGATTGCTTTTAAAAAGACATCATGTGCTTGTGATGAGCTGTCTGCTCGTGGTGGTAAGTTGATTCAATGCAATAGGCATGCGAGGAATACGAACACGGACGCCGAATAACTTAATCTAAGCCATTCGCTAATCTTAGGTTTGACCAACTAGGCACCAATCTCAGTAACATGCATTTGCCTATACCCCAGGCCTCTAGGTTTCAAACATGAAAACATTTCATCTTTACTCGATGAAAAAACCCCAAGAAAACCCTAAGCGCAGATATACACAAGGTTTCCACCATGATCGGCGTGATGCTTCATGGCCGTCCAGCTTTGAGGGAACGAGCTTTGACGGTGTCAATAAGCCGCAAAATAAACCGGATTCTAATGACTGCGCCCTTGTTGCAGGCAGCAACTTTAACCGTCTGGGAGGTGGTTAGTTCACCACGGCTTATCATGTCATGAATAAACCTGAGGGTAGCTTTAGCTAGGTTCAGCGTGCATGGTGGTGACACCGATTTCCAGAAGCACTGTAACTCGGCTTGGATTCATCGGCCATTGCCATTCACATATTACAGCAGTTGTCTAATTTGGAATAATTGCTTGAGACTGGACTTGGATTTGCAGATACATCCGGACCCTTTTAACTGCTAGTCGCCATACCAGATACTTTACGCCGCCAACTCCTTTTAACCAAGTCCATTATGCATGTCGTTGACTCGTGATGATAGCACTTTTCCGTGCTGTTGAATAAAGAAACAGACCAGAATCCCACACTCCCCGGAAGCGCCTCAAATAATATCCAAGTCATCCTCACTATCCGAGAATGGATTGCTAGCCTGACCAGCCTCAGGCGGCCCACCCAGACTATCCCGGCCCGCCTCCCTGATCCCCTTCGCAGTAACAAACCGCGTCTTCTTAACTCCACTGCCATGGGGTTGATCACGAGCGCGCTTCATTGGACTCAACCGGACATTCTGCGCCTTCCCGAAACTGGACAGGTTCAAGGCACTGGCGCTGGATGAGGGCAGCTTCGGAGTAGTTGGAGTTCCTCCGGGCGTCTTGTCCTGCGCATCCTCGGATGTCTCGGTGTTGGCGGTGCGCGCGCGAAGATACTCGGCGCCCACGCCGCCGACACGGTTGGAGAACAGTTTCTGGGTGATATCGCGCTCGCGCTGCTGCGTTGCCAGGCGTTTGCGGAGGCGCTCTTCTTTGCTGTCTGTTCCGCGGCCCATCATGCCGGCCGCGATGAAGGGGTCGTCGCTGACGTTGTCCAGCAAGTTCGCTGCGGACTGTCCAGCAGCAACGGGGTTGAAAGAGGAACGGCCAGCGCCTCGGTTTTTGGGCGCCGGCGCCACATAGTATGTAGATTGCGTTCCCCAATGGTACTGGGGGCCTTCTTGCTTGAGGCCTTGCTTGGATGCGTCACCACCTCGGCCACCTCCTTTCTTGCTGCCTCCTTCACTGCCGAAATATCCGGTTCGTGAGCCGGATCGGCCGCCAGGACCGTAGGTACCGGACCCGCTATTGACACCCGAGCGATGGCCCTGGGTTCGCCGCACCTGAACATCAACGTGGAAATCACAAAATTCTGTCTTTCGGCCATCCACCCAAGTCTGGCATGTCTTGCCGTCTTTTCTCACGGCTTTGCAAAATCCAATGTCTCGAGCATACCCTATCTCCAGGACCTTGTCGTCTGAGGATGATAACGCGAGACTGAAACGGTTGGTATCCAGCTTGTGTTTTGGTGGAGGCATGATCGTGGGGTTTAAGATGGCGATCAAGGTTCCTTCCGAGATCTTGTAGTAACGAGGAAAGGCCGTGTCAAACAGGAAGAGGTCAATCGTCCACTTCAAATCAGTCAGAGTGATCGCCATGTATCTATTTGTGTTGTTGCGGCCATCATCGTAAGGGTCTGCTTCTTTGGCAGTCGCATTCCCCGAACGTTTTATATCCTTCGGGTTGGATTTGGATGCCACTATCCCAAAAACGACGAAGTCTCCATCCACTTCTTCCGGAAGCTCGAAAGCGGGCGCTTTCACTGTTTTGAGGAGATCGGGAATGCGGAGGATGGTTTTGCTAGCCAGGTTTCGGCTCAAGAAAGAATGGGGTAGAATGCGGTTTGAAAGATGCAAGGATGAGTAGGACTCGAATTTGGATGGATCAGGCGCCTTGGCCTCTTCCTCGTGTGTAGATGACACTGTTTCTGATTCCGCAGTATGGTTTCGTGTGTGTACTGGAGATCGTCCTTGGCTGTCATCGCTGTTGTTCTCCGTTCGTCGCATGTTTGGCGTCGTCTGGCTGCGCTTGATACCCAATGGACGGGACTTACCTAGAGACCGCAGGATATCTTCACGGCTGAAACTTTCTACTTGTCGGTAACTGGCTGCTGACGATGGCGGTGAATGCTTGGTTTCGGCAGCTGCAGTCTTAAATGCTTCCATCTCGCCTTTGTCCAACTGGAAACCTGAGCTGCGCTTAGCCTGCAACTTGGCTGCTCGTTCCATGCGAGACTTCTCGGCTTCTCGCCCTTCAGCCATTCTTTCACTGAAACTTTTGATCTTGCTGAGTCCAGCCGGAGAAGAAAGATCACTGGGTCGACGTCCAAGTTGATCATTTCTAGGAGCCCGCTTCAGCGACACATCGCTGGCTTTCCAACCCTTATCAATGCCCATCAGATATCTTCGCGGTGACGCCGGATTGGCAGCCGGAGCTGCTCGTTTCGTAGGAGACACAGGAACCTGAACCCCATCTGCACCCGCCTTTCTTTTTCCCCTCTCGGACTCTTTTGTACCTCCTGTAACCTCGACGAGGAGGCGCTGATAGCAGAAGATGGGCGGGCAGTGCTCTGGTTTGAACCAGATCTGCCGCGGTTCTTTTGGAGCTGCTTCAGCTTGAGTCGAGCCTTGATTTCTTCGAGTTTGAGAGCCAGCGTCTCCTCGTCTTCCTCGTCATCTTCGTCCACTTCCTCATCCTCTTCCAAGATCTGTGCGGCTTTCGACCGGATGTTTGGGGTTGTGCTTGAACGTTTCAAGGGCGACATCTTCTCACGCCGGCGCTGCATATCCTCGTACTTGCGTCGTCCGCCTGGGGAACTCAGCATCGCCGCACGGGGCGATTTGGGTGGCCATTCGCTCTCGCCCACTAGCCGATCGGTCAGTAGACGAAACACTAATAGCTGGGAAGTACATTACTGATGGCGGTGTTCAAGGCCCTGAGGTTGAGGACGGAAAAGGATCAATCACCCTGGTGCCTGTATTGTACCCCATTACCGTATCACCGATAACATCCAGGCAGTAATTTAGGTGGTCTGGAGTATGCAGGATTAAGGACGAAACTCAGCCCTGAAGATGCGCCCGTCACATGACCTCCAAACGCGAGACGCGTCGCGGGTTCTCTTGATCGCCTCGTCAACTACTTCTACAACCACAATCCACCACTGTAATAATGCCGCGAACACGATCGGTTCCAGCGGCCAAGTCCGAGCCAAAACAGACAGAACAAACACCCAAGCCATTGACGCCAGAGGCGCCCTGCAAGACTTTCATTCTCCCTTCTTCAGCTAGCGACAATGCCCGCCTACTATCCCTGCCGAATCCGCAGTCGGGAGACCTAACGCGCTATTTCTTCTGCCCGGACCGCGGCGTCTACGAGTTTACCGTTGTCGCACCGCCTTCACAGCCGGGACGAAGTATCTTGTTCACGCCTTGCACAGAGAAACCATCCGAAGATGATGATGCGGTCGTCACCCCGAAGGCTACAGTCGCCAAGAAAGCCGAATTGCTGATTGCAACACCAATTGATACCATATTTTTCATGATCCCATTGCTCGCACCTTCTTCAAAGTCCGGCCCTTCGCTGTTTCAGCCGCTGGACGATATAATTGACTCCCAAGACGACTTGCCACCGCACCTACGCCATGTTCTTTACGATGAAACGTTTCGACCATCCCTCCTCTCGCGCGTGGAGGCTATCTGTGACACTGTGGAAGCGGGGGATGAGAAACTGTTCCGCTTCAGTGAGATGAAGCTGGTCCGGGAGTTGATCGGTAAAGCGGAGCGCATGGTCGCTCATGGCCTGCCAGCAAGCTTGGAAGAGCGGTTTGTTCGACAAGCCCTCGCTACTCCGCTGATGGCCGTCAAAAGAGAAGACATTGTGACGAGCCAGACCTCATCGAACGAGAGTGAGTCAGGCACGAAATCAGAGGAACGGCCGGACTCGCCGTCGACAGTGGCCACTACTGCAACGCCATCTGTGTCGACGCCTGCGGGCGAATCGACCCCAGCTCCTCAGCCACCTGGTGTTGAGGATTCCGCGCCTTCAGACCCCGTGGCTCGTCTACTGCGGATCTCCACGGCGCTGGCCTTCATCAAGGAATCATATCTCCTACCGCCCCTATGCACTCGGTTGGACGAAATCCTCGCTTCTCCCGAGAGCCCGCTAGATTTGAAACCTTTGACGGAGCGTCTCAAAGAGATTGCTGATCTCCGCGCTGAGGCCATGGCGTCACGGAATATGTCCGACTTCACTCGGAAGCGCGGGTTGGATGATGATGAAGAAGCGGAGACAAGAGCCGAGAAGAAGCGCAAGAAGGAAGAGGAGGAAAAGAAGAACAAGGCGGCTGAGTCTCGAGGTGTTCGGGACTTGAAGAAGGTCAATACGACTGGGATGAAGAAGATGAGTGATTTCTTCGGCAAAGCTGCTGCCAAGAAGAAGTCTTGAATGCTGCAATAATGGCAAACAAGATCTCATTCAACCTCTCTAACCCCAACTCCATACACACTGCCGCAGCGATTCTCCTATCCCGTCCGATCTCACCAAAACGACCATCCAGTATAGGTTAATGTACAGCATGACGGAGCGGCAGCGATTCTACGCCATCTACACGGACAGCGACCATTGAGTCTCCATACACTTCACATTTTACGCCCAACCGCTATATGGTATATCTATCCAGTGTTTCGCTGGGTGGATTTGTTTCTTTTTAGACCATGGAATGGTTTTTGGGAACTCCTATAGCTAGCAGTCCTCATACCAAGGGGGTCTGCTTTTTCACGATAGGAGAGGATTTAGAGAGGGACCTGGTCGATAGCAGCTCCCGTAACCCTATAATGAAAGTCAATCAGTGGCCAAATCACGTCAGAGGATCATAAAACGTACAAGAACGAGCCATTGGACGGCTTGCTGATAACCATGGCCTGTTCCAGTTTCTCAGCGCTGATATCCGGGAATTTCTTGAGATAATACTCGTCGCGAAGAGCAGTGGTAACCGCCTCAACCTTGCTCTGGGGCAGCATGTGGACTGTGCAACCGCCCCATCCAGCACCAGTCAAACGGCTACCCCAGGTACCAGCACGGCGAGCAATGGCGCAGATGTCGTCAACCTCGGGAGCACTGCAGTCGTAGGCCGTGCGGCACGACTCCTGCGACTCGTTCAGCAGCTGGCCCAGGTAGTGGATGCGCTTCTCATCAAGCTGGGACGCTTTAGCGAGACACGCCGTGAAGTCGAGCACGCGCCGAGCCTCCTTGAAGCAGTGTAGGGCGCGCTGGCGCAGGAGGAACCGCTCCGCTTGCACGGGGAATGCGGATAGGAAGGTAGACTCGAGCTCGGGAACGGTGATGCCCAGCAGTTGAGCCATCTCCTCGCGCGTGTAGCCCTGCTCCTGTGTCAACAGGTCCTGCACGGCCTGAATCACCGAGTCGATCTGGTACTCTAGCGGGTCCTGCAGCCGCTCCTCCTTGGTCATCAGCTGCTGCTGGAAGTTCCGTAGACTGTATCCCAGCGAGCTGTTATCCTTGGGGAGAGTGAGACCGTAGTGCTTAGCCAGAATCACAGCCGCCAGGGTGCATTCTGCGACGCGCAGGTTGTAGTGCCGCGGGGCGGTATCCGCCTTGTTCGAGGTAACGAAGCTTTGTGCCATGAGGAAGGTGATCTCTTCCGCGGCCGTCGGGATCGGGACATGCTGGGCCTTGAACTGCGGGAAGAATTGGGTGTAGAGCAGATAGCCACGCTTCGAGAAGATGGAGGCTGCTTGGTCCATACTGTAGGAAAGATATTCAAGTCAGAAAATACTTCGGCCATTGCGAAATGACGGTGCTTACCCGCCGGAGTACACGCCGACAGCCCGCTCAGAGACGACCGCCAGATCCAGCAGGTCCTGCTTGGAGACATTGTGGTTGTTGGCCTTCATGACGGCCAAGGCACTGGCGCAGACGAACGCGGCACTGCTGGAGATGCCGCCACCGGGGGGAACATTGCCATCGACCAAGATCTCCATGCTAGCGGGGACGAGCGAGCCATCGGACTTTTGCTTGCGCAAGAACTTAAGTGCGCCCTGCAAGCCGGCCTTGAAGTAATTGATCCACTCGTGCTTCTTGGGGTCGATCTCGATGTCCGTATCGCGCGGGATGCTGAACTCGCGCGTGGGGAATTTTTCGGGCGAGACATTGGCGATCTTGACGGTGGCGCCGGACGCGCTGGCGGGGGCGACCTTGACGGCCATGATCACGTCGACGCTGACGGCGGTCGGCAGCACATCGTACAGCGAGTAATCGATGTGTTCGCCGATAATGTTCACGCGGCCGGGACTGCGCGCGACAAAGTCCGGGCGGTGGTTGTAGGTCTTGTTGAAGTGCGAGATCAGCGCGGCCCACCGTTGCTGGTGTTCCGGCGCAACCGTAGCGACAGAGGCATCGTCGGTGGCATAAACCTCCGCGATGGATTCGGTCTGCGGGACGAGCTCTTGGGAGGGAGGCATGGCGGATAGGAGGGGAGAAAAAGGAGTGAGGGGGAAAGAAAAAAGAAGGGAGAATGAAAAATGATGATGACGGAGTATGCAAATGTTGGTGGGGATGCTGCGTGCGGTGACCGTTTGGAGATAGCTCGGTGCGGGGAGACAGTCTCTGGTAGGGCCGAATCAGGCAATTCGATGGTGATTGGTTCGATGTGCCTGGTTGACTGCTCCATTCAGCTGCATTCGTGTCACGTGATCATATTCCGGCCAATTTTGTGGCCTTCTGTTCTAAGAGAAAAAGTCTCCAATTTTCGCTACGCTTCGGCACTTTGGCGGAGTTGGTTATCGCGCAAGCCTCGAAAGCTTGTTCCTTCGGGAGCCTGAGTTCGAATCTCAGAGGTGTCGTTTTCTTTTATTTTTTTATTTTTTTATTTTTTTATTTTTTTATTTTTTTATTTTTTTTATTTTTTTATTTTTTTTATTTTATTTTTTTAATACCCTACTCACTGCTTTCCGCAGTGATGTGATACTTCCACTTTCAGTTGAGTTGTTAAAGATATGCATTAAACTGTCTCACTCCTGTGTAACCCTAATTCTCTGGTCTCGATCTGGACTGGAGGAGCGGGGATCATGTGCTTCCCCCGTGACGCCGAGACCCGGGCAACTTTGGCAAACCCTGAGCGCAGCCACTAGAACTGGGGTTCTAAAGTGGTAGGCCCATAGGGGGAGGTGGCAATATAGAGAGAATAGACCCTTCAACCAGGTAGATCCGAGATGGAAGACCGAGGGGGAATGGTGTGCAGGGGTGAGCGTACCGAAAGAAAACGAATTTGAGAAATAGATATGGTGAATTTCTTTGAAGCGGAGCGGAAGGTGTAGGTGTAGGTGTAGTCAGGTGGTCTTTTGGGTTGAGACCCTGCGCCCAGCTGGTTAGTATAAGGAGGTTCCAATATCACAATAGGTTCAAACGAACCGTTCTGGCTAGCTGCGTCTGATTTGCCAAGTCGACAGGCTCAATGGAGGGGGTAACAGCAACTCACAATGCAGAGGGAGGAGGTAAAGGGTCTTAGAACCCCGTTTGGAAGGGATTTGCGGGGATTTGGTTATCAGAAATTTTCAGGGTTCTTGCCGAAAGCCCTCACCGAGCTCTCGAGGGACTCTAGGAGTTTGGGACGGGAAGAGACGAGAGGAACTTGGGGAGATAGAAGAGAAGATCTGGGAGGGAGAGAGGGGAGCTTTGGATGAGCTGAGAGGGGTGGTGAGGATCGAAGGGAGGGGAGGTGAGGAAGGGAAGAGAAGAGAAGAGAGGAAAGAGAAAACTTCTGGATATACTCTATAGTCGGAACGTCCCATTAGGGCTTTGTAAGCCAGGAAACCTGCCAGGCAGGCCCTCGAGCGTGATCATGGGTATCTTGATATCAAACCTCAGTTCTAGTGGCTGTCCTCCAACCCCAGTTCTAATTCGCTGCATGCGTCTAGCAGATTATCAAACAATTCTGTGTATATACTAGGCAGAAATAGAGGACAAGTTGTTCTAGTCCCTTAAATTGGACCATATACATGCTACACCGGATAGGCTTGGGCCGATATCATCTAGAAAACGTCCGAGCCATTTATTGATTTGGTAGGGGGTTGGTAACCTTCAATTGATGTATTTATACTAGTATACACTAAGCAACCCCCTGGTGTTGGGGTGGGGGTGGTGAAAGCAAATATGATAATAAAATAGAGGAACACCCACTCACGCCTTGTTGAAGGAAGAAAAGGACGAGCAGAATTGGGGGAAAGGACAGCAAAAATAGAGCGCATTCATAGCCTGACCTCTGCACACATTGCACGGATCATCTGCTCATCAAGGAGTATGTCATGTTCTCCAGGTCCAGGTGGCCTTCTCATCACAAGGTGAAAGGGGAGAATAACAGGCGCTCCGTACACCGTGTTGTTTGTATATTGCACACGCTGTGTGCAGTCGAGGACGAAGGATGGTTGATTCCGGGTGGTAGGTCCTAGTCGGGGGTTTAGTACTTCAGTCCATACCTCGATGTCCACCCGATACGCTGGCTGCTTAGTTGTCTTAATAAGGACGACTAGCTTAGTCTCATTCCCGTTCGCTGATTTTGAGTTGGCGTACCACCATCTCGCGTCGTTGCGAAGTTGTTGGGACGGCTCTGAAACTCCGATCTCGAGAGCCAGCGAGGGCCAGAGCTCTCCCACGCTGTTCACCGAGTCGTACGGCCCCAGCCACGAGTCTGGTTCTTTGCTGCAAAAGTTTCCGCGCACCCTCGCTGAGTGCCGGTTCACCCAGTGTCCCAGATGGGGGAAAAGGCCCATTTGGAATAGACAGAATGCCACAGTTGAGTCAAACATTCCCGCAATCTGATCATGCTGGTCACCGGGCATGACCTTATACAGAATCTTTCGTCGGTAGTGGTAGATTGCTGCCCTCACTCCTCGGAAGACATCTGGTTCTTCTTCCAGCCTCTTGAAGAGGACCTGGTCGATGTCGAGAACGAGGAGATATTGGGAGCAGGCGGAGTCAGATGCGGCGAGCTTCTCTTTGATAGTCTGGAGAGCTGCTTCAAGCTCCTTGAAGGATGGTGAAGGGAGAATAGTGGCGTGGGGGGGGATGCTAATCTCTTCGTTGGGATAGGAGGAGTGCGACGAGCCAGCGGATGAGCCAGACGATATGGCTCCCTGGGAGAAAGTCGAAAGAGCGGACCCGGAGCTAGAGTCTGATGCAGCCTCTTGACGGCGGCTGGGATTGTGATCTTTCTGGCGAAATGGCATATTCGGAGAGTTGGGATGAATGGAGGATTGTTCTGAGGATGAAAGATGAGGGAGCTGGGAAAGAGTCGACGAGGTACTAAGACCCGCCTCCATCGTGCCTTCCTCATTCAGAATTTCTGGGTTGCTGGCCATTGTCAAGATGCAGAGAAATACGAAGAGTGTGGGGATTTGAGCAAGAATGTTGAAGGAAGAAAATGTGAATGTGCAGATTGAGAGATTATTAAGATTTCCGGAAGTACGATGGGTGGACGTTTCATGGGTGTGAGTCAAATCTGAAGTATTGGTAACCTTGGTGCCAAGCGGACGGAAGGTTATCATTGATCCCCGACTAAGCCTAATTCGGGCGGATATTAGGGTGCTGCCCGTTAGCCAGGTAGTATGACATGCTGACGCGCGACAACGGTGGTAGGCAACCCGATTCCTGACAGACAGGCGTTGTTGAAGAATAGGCCGAGATTTTCGTGGGTGATGGGCGGCTCTAGCTTTGAGAACAAGTTAGTATATGAATAGATATATGAGGCCCCACAGGAGTAGCGAATTAGAACCGGGGTTGGAGGGCAGCCACTAGAACCGGGGTTCTACAGTGGTAGTCCCATAAGGGGAGAGTAGAGCCATGGGGATTTCTTTGCTTTGAGTATATGACTTACAATCGACTGAAGCTTCTAGTGTAAGCATATTGACCGTAGTATCATCGCTAGTTATATCCCACTCGCAGCCATAAGGATGGTAATCCACTCACTAAGCTCTGAAAATGAAACAACAAGTCAGCAAATTTATAGTTTGAAATATTGTGATGGCTCATCCCTAATAAGCGTTGTTCGAAGTCTATTCACTACGTCGGTGCCCTGATATTGGAACCGCGGTTAGGAGATATGTGGGTCGTCTTCCAACCCCAATTCTAATATAGCGCACCATCGAATAGAATGTAAGACTAAGCTACTATTTGGATTATATATCATTATTATTCGTATACCGCGGGTCTATTACCCCAGAAACAATAAGACCCGGTCCCTAGGCGGAACACATCAAAGAAGGTAAGGTATAGTAGTAGTAAATCATAGACCAAGAAGAGAAAGGGGGTAAAGAAATACCGGATAGAAAAAGAAACTTCAAGAAAGGATAGACAGGAATCCTCCTCCTGTAAAGTGTCATTAGCTCAGAAGTCCATATGACAGCTTTTACGGCCGACGCCCTTGAGGAGGCTGGACTGGGGGAACATCGAGTGTCACACGGGGGGCGCTTTGCTGTTGACCGCTGCGGGACCCAGTTGAAGATGCCTCTATGTCAAGAGTTAGTAGTATATCATATAAGTCTCTTAAGATCATCCATACTTGTCCTCTGTGCCTGACATTGTCTTCAGTCCGCCCAAGCTGTCTACCGATATCCGCCCACGTCATCCTTTCATTAGGTTTCGCGATGATGAAATCGTTCTCTTCTTTGATAAACGGCAGTTGTCCACGCGCATTGAGCCATTTCTGGATTAGCGGCTGACCCTGATAGGTAGCTTTCTGTTTAAGCCTCTGTGTCGAGGTCAGTAGTATATCATATAAGACTCTTGGGATTATCCATACTTGTCTCTCTCACAAACATTAGACCGCACAAGATGTCTACCGATCTCCCTCGACGTCATTCCACCTTCACGTTCAGCGAGGATGCAGTCGTCCTCTTCCTCTGTGGATTTTTGCCGTTCGCGATAGCCGCTTGAGCCAGAGCTAGGGCTAGAGGTGGGAGCGGCCTCAGTCGATGATTGTGCTAGTATTGGGTTCGGGTCATCATCGCCATTCTGCACAGGTCGCTCTTGTAGGTGCTATACCGGCCATTAGTATATCATATAACAAGTCCATAGACCATCCATACTCGCTGCCAGTGATGATAGACAGAATCCGCTGAACATCGCAGCATTTTTCCGATGTCCTTGAATGAGGTGAATGTTACGCGCGCGGATAGTATTATCCCATCTTCCTGATCTGTGAATTTCCGTTTTCGGCCGGCAGACGATAGATCTGGAATCACGGTCTCAGCAGGGGCCGATGGCGTCTTAGTGAGGGCTGGCATTAGGATAGCCCCCGGAAAGTCACGCACTCCCATTTCATTGATGCGATTCCGCCCCTGGTTGTGATTGGCGAGGCATCCTGCGGATATGGTTTCCTTTGCATGGTATGTGACCTCTACCTTGTCCATAAAATACGAAGTTGCTTCGTTCGGAACCACGTCCTGCATCCGGCCCCAACAAATGATGGTTGGCACATCCACGTATATGATCCAGTTTCGGTCGACTTGGGGTTCGTAGATAGCAAGGCTAATGCTAGGGCCCAACTGGCCCAGTAAGTCGGCGAGATGAACCTTGTGGGTTAGGAGACCGTCAATGCCGCGGATTAGCAGTATCTTTGGCCCATTGTAATGGATGAAGAAGTCGATAATCTCTTCAGCTCTATGTTTAGGCAAGGGGCAGTTCGAATGGTGATGAAAAACCAGCCGTTTCACTTCATAATGGAAAGGCCCGTAACGAGTATTGAACATTTTCCAGCCATGTTCAGCGGCTTCATTTAGCCGCATCGTGTCTCGACCACAAAGACTGCTGGAGAGCCTTGCGACGACTAGCGCTCGCCCAACTGCCCGGGGGGGGGGGGGGGGGGAAGGAAAAGGAAGCATGGCTATGCGATGGCGCGCTATATTAGAACCGGGGTTAGAAGCCCACAGCTGGAGGATAGAGGAGACATGATGGACTGGAAGAGAGGTCTCACGATGGGCTGAAGGGAAGACGATGGATTTGAAGAGGCCTCACGATGGGCTATATTAGAACCGGGGTTAGAAGCCTAGAGCTGGAGGATAGAGGAAAGACGATGGGCTGGAAGAGAGGTCTCACGATGGACTACTACTGGAGAGACGATGGACTGGATGGAATGTCTCACATCGGGCTGGAGGAGAGATGAGAGACTGGAGGAGAGACGATGGGCTGGAGGAGATGTAGAAGGTCACAAGTCTGCTGATGAAAGGGTCTTGATAGAGACCAACCCAGGTCGCGCCTTCCTCCTAAGGTGCAACTTCCACATCCTGCGGCAAGAGTATCATGGGTTAGTGTAAAAAGCCTGGGAGAGAGTAAAGATGGTTCAATTCCTATGATTTAGCTATCCGCAGGTAAAGATCGACGAATGACGCCATCTGCAAGCGTCCGTGTAACAGCGTCCGTCTGTAAAAGCAAAAGGTAAAGCTAGATGCTAGTGTAAGCGCAAGAGAGTAGAAAGAGGTAGGATCAGAATCGGTAGACGTCAATCTTCGATGCCCTCGTAGGTCTCGGCCGTGCCCCCGCCGTGCCCTTGATCTCTCTGGTGGTCGTCTCGGTGCTGCCGTCGTGCTCGACCGGGTGAGTGATTGTAGGGAAGTAGCTAATTCTAGACTCTATCTTTGAAACGCTTCTCAACGCCTGCGCGGGACGAGATAGACTTCACGCGGTCGTTGAATGCGAAAACGTCTGCGGCCGGCTCTTGTTCGACGCCTCTGCAAGTTTCGAGCCGAAATATTGGATTTTCGTTAAGGGGAATAGTCTTCGAAGCCACGTAGTTCGCTTCAACCCTTTATACATTCTATGCGATGGCTAGTTGTATTAGAACCGGGGTTGGAAGCCGCCCCCGGGGGAGGTGGGGGGACGCGACTAACTACTTAGTTAACTTGTCGACCAGAGTGTGGGCCAATATACCGCTAGACCAAATAATGCCAAAGGCATACAGTTCACGAATAGTTAACTTTGTTAACCTTAACTAGTTACCTTAACCATGAGCTGACTAAAGAGAAGAGAGGTCATGTGCCCCCACGTGACAGCCGATACCGGAGGTCGTGGAAGAGCGAACCAATGGCGCCCCTCGAATTGCCTGAGTCATCGATTTTCTTCAAACGCCCCAGAGACAAACCGAAAGCGCAGTCACGGCACAGATTTTGGTTTCTTCCATACATTCTCCACTCCTCTCGACTGGCCTGGCTGTCATCCCAATGATGATGATGCCTCTAAGACCATCAAAAAGCGCCTTGCGCTCCATCCACCTGCAGAGGCAACTTGCCTCGGGGCGTCGACCTTTTTCCACTGCCTTTGTGGCCTCGGCCTCGGCCCACCGCCCTTTCGGTCAGAAGCGCAGTCAGAGCACAGCTGCCGCACCGGCTTCGTAAGTGTTTTGCTCGACAAATGATAGGAACTGCATTCATACTGACCTCGGCGCTGTTAGTGGCTCACGCCCCGTCCCGAGTCCGGCATTCAACCAAGAACCTCACCGGAATGAGGTCTCTCCTCTCCAAAACCGCCAGCTCCCTGAGCTCGATGATTCGTACGTCCCGAGATCCTGAATCAAAATCTTTGTGATACTAACCTGCCCCAAGAATGGTCGGAATGAGCGGTGGAGAAATCTTCCATGAGATGATGCTTCGCCTTGGCGTGAAGCATATCTGTGAGTCAGGCCGAAGGATATTGGAAAGAATTCTTTGCTGATCAATTTTCAGTTGGATACCCGGGTGGTGCCATTCTCCCCGTGTTCGATGCCATCTATAACTCGAAGCACTTTGATTTCATTCTCCCCAAGCATGAACAAGGTGCCGGTCACATGGCGGAGGGCTATGCCCGTGCATCTGGAAAGCCCGGTGTGGTCCTGGTCACTTCCGGTCCTGGAGCAACCAATGTCGTTACTCCTATGCAAGATGCCATGTCTGATGGCACTCCGATGGTTGTCTTCTGTGGTCAGGTCGTGACCGGCGCCATTGGTACTGACGCTTTCCAAGAGGCCGACGTGGTCGGTATCTCTCGGGCATGTACGAAGTGGAACGTGATGGTCAAGTCCGTTGCTGAGCTTCCTCGTCGCATCCAAGAGGCATTCGATATCGCCACCAGTGGCCGCCCGGGCCCCGTTCTGGTCGACCTGCCCAAGGATATCACCGCTGGCATCCTTCGCAAGCCCATCCCCATGCAGAGCACTATCCCCTCCCTCCCCAGCGCAGCAACCATGGCCGCCCGCGAGCTGGGAAAGAAGCAGCTTGATGCCACCATCTCCAAGGTCGCCCGTCTGGTCAATGGCGCCAAGAAGCCCGTTCTCTATGTTGGTCAGGGTCTCCTCGCTCGTCCGGATGGCCCCAAGGTCTTGAAGGAGCTTGCGGACAAGGCTTGCATTCCTGTCACCACTACCCTTCAGGGTCTCGGCGGATTCGATGAGCTGGATCCCAAGTCTCTTCACATGCTCGGCATGCACGGTTCGGCATATGCCAACATGGCCATGCAGGAGGCCGATCTGATTATTGCTGTTGGTGCTCGGTTTGACGACCGTGTCACTCTTAGCATCCCCAAGTTTGCGCCCCAGGCGAAGCTGGCGGCTGCCGAGGGCCGTGGTGGTATCGTGCACTTCGAAATCATGCCCAAGAACATCAACAAGGTTGTTGAGGCCACTGTTCCCGTGGAGGGTGACTGTGCTGAGAACCTTAACCTGCTTCTGCCCCATGTCCACGCCGTCAAGGAGCGTGCCGAATGGTTCGAGCAGATCAACGACTGGAAGACCCGCTTCCCTCTGTCTCTCTACGAACGCCAGAGCGAAAACGGCACCATTAAGCCGCAGAACCTAATCGAGACCCTCAGCAAGCTCACCGCTGATCGGAAGGACAAGACCATCATCACCACCGGTGTCGGACAGCACCAAATGTGGGCTGCCCAGCACTTCCGCTGGCGCCACCCGCGGACCATGATCACGTCTGGTGGCCTTGGTACCATGGGCTTCGGTCTTCCGTCGGCCATTGGTGCCAAGGTGGCTCGTCCTGATTGCTTGGTCATTGATATCGATGGCGATGCTTCGTTCAACATGACTCTGACCGAGCTGTCCACTGCTGCTCAGTTCAACATTGGCGTGAAGGTTCTTCTGCTCAACAACGAGGAGCAAGGAGTAAGTTAATTTTTGATCTTTTTTTTGGTATTTTCTTTTCAGCCCATGCTAATGGAGTCCTCTTAGATGGTCACCCAATGGCAAAACCTCTTTTACGAGGATCGGTACTCGCACACCCATCAGCAAAACCCCCACTTTGTCCCTCTGGCCCGCTCCATGCGTGTTGCCGCTGAGCAGGTCTCAAATCCCGCCGAGGTTGAGGAGAAGCTGAAGTGGCTGATCGAGCACGATGGCCCTGCCCTGTTGGAGGTCATCACTGACAAGAAGGTCCCTGTCCTTCCCATGGTGCCAGCCGGTAGCGGTCTGCACGAGTTCTTGGTTTATGATGAAGGTAAGCTTTCTCATTAGAAGATGTTTTGATGGAAGGAACTCCCGCTGACTTGTCATTCTCTGCAGCCAAGGAACAGGAGCGCAAGGCCCTGATGCGGAAGCGGGGTGTGAAGTTTTGAAGCTGCCCAGAATGGACATGACTTGACCATCATCATTGGCGTGTGCTTCTGTTAATATCCATGGCGTTTCTTGGCAGGTTCACCAAAAGCGAAAGGGGCAATGACTGTTGAACTCAATTAACGAAAAAAAGGTCTTGTGCCATTGTACCCTTTGTTGGGGTTACTTTCACTTGATATGGCGTGCTCTGGCGCCTCCCTACTTTCCCCTGTTTCCCCAACCCAGGGACCGCAGAATAACTGGAGACGCAAAGCATTCCATTATATATTCCGGAGCTGTTCTTTTATTGCCTTGTTGTATATAGTCATGGTAGTTTTTATATTTTTTTTTGAACCAGTTGTACTTTCCTCCCTTGTAGTTTGGGCTTTGCATTTCTGACGTGATCATCCACGTGACCCGCTGACAGCCGCGGTTCGCATCCGTTCGATGGTGACTGGATGCAGCTCCCCTCTTCTTTCCTCAAGGACGTCTTTGTTTGGGACCTGACCTTTTCCTCTTCCAAGACTCACCTCACTCCAGTGGCTCATTCCGTCATATCCCGGTCTTCTCCCCGTATGCTCCACCCGGAAGATGCTGAGCCTTATTCTTCGCCCCATCTAGTGAGCTCTATTTAACAGTCAAGTCATCGCCGCTTTGTCCACCACCTCCTCTTAGTGGCAAATACCTTTCCAACACCCCCACGATGGCCTCCCTTCCTGGATACCCTGCCGCGAACCGGTCAAGATCATCCGATGGCGTCACATCCGCAACCCCCGATGGCGGCTCCACGTTGCAAGATGCCGCCGAAGCAAGCAGCTCGCGGGCCGAGGACTCGGAGGAAACAATCTTGTTGAACAAGGGTTCCTCGACTCCCAGCGATACATATAGCCTGGCTCCCTCCGCCAACAAATCTCTCAGCCGGTCAACACACGCCATCGACGAACCGCGCAAGTGTTGGATCTGCTATACCGACGAAACGGAAGACTCGCCGCTGAACTCGGAGTGGCGGTCGCCATGTCCTTGCGCCCTGACGGCCCATGAGGCGTGTCTGTTGGACTGGCTTGCGGATCTGGAGAACCCTCAGTCGCGCAAGCGCAACGGCGGCGGCGCCACCAAGATGGTGTGTCCCCAGTGCAAGACGGAGATCGTGGTCACTCGGCCGCGGAGCTATATGGTCGATACTCTCCGTCTGATGGAGCGGGTCGCGGGCCGCTTGGTCTT